CCCCCTCCCCTACTCACTTTGATGCATTTTTCAAATTTTGCCTTGGGGCGGAGTTATCTTTTCTCGGGGTGGGGAGGGGGGGGTAAGATACACTTTAAGACATTTTATTTAAGTAAAAAAATGAATGAAAAACAGGTCAACAATAGCGACTGCCCTTGGAGAGCTCTCATCTGAAGTCCAGTTGGTGTAATGTTTCCTTTTTAAAGTAAAGTATGCTGATTAAGTCTTTTGTTGATATTGAGTGCGTACCTGCTAAAAAAAAAAACTACATGAGTAAACTCTCAAAAAGTCCCATTTAATGTAGTTCAGGACAAACTTTATTTTGTTTGTTTCCTGATTTGAAACGAGTACCTTTTTAAAGTTAGAGTGAAATGGGTTTTAGGAGCACTTAGCGAGGATTCAGCTTGTACAAACAGATTTGACGCTGGCGTCAAGGTTTGATAAAATGCCGTGGAATTTTGTTGTGTTTTGCCCATAGCAATTATTGATGATGGGTGCCAGTCGCTCTGAGCTGCATCTGAATAAGTTCACTTGAAGAGTTATTAATAACGTTGGCTTGCGCTGGGTTTGTGCCTGAAGCCCCGAGTCCCAGGCGTACTCCTACTGCGAAACATTGTTTGCATTAAACTCTAATCCACCTTCAGTTTTACCTCCATATGTTGATGCTGCAGCGCAACTTGTCAGATTTGCCTGGAGGACTTTGAGAGGAGCAGGAAGTCCCTGTGCACTGGAAACCCTGCCATCAAAGTCGCGTATAGAAATCCCATAATAGAATCAACGGAGCTGTAAAGATTTTCAAAAGAGAGTAAGTGGGACAAGTAAAGTTGCCAGCTTCCCCCGAGAACGGGACTTTAAAAAATAAAGTTTTTTTTCCTGACAGGGGCTGGAATGGGTCTGTGTTTTGTGGTCTGTTGGGTTTATTTATTTATTTTTCCTTTTCCCTTTTAGTAGACTTTTGACTTGTAGTACAACAGCTCCTGAGCTGATCAGATAATAAAAAATAAAAATAAGACCCTCAGAAAAATGTTCCTGCTTCCCCTCTGTGGACTTGAGCAGAACTTTGGGACAGAAAAGCCCCCCCACAGCAGGGAAACTAAACAGAATGTAAACTTCTGAACCTCCTTGCCGGCGGGGAGAGCAGCTCAGAATGATTGTGTCACATCAGAGTGGGAAACTCGCTCTGGGTTTGTCTGCAGGTGGACACGGCAGCGTCAGAGCTGGACCTGTGTGCGAGTTAAATCTCGAAACGGGCCCGGTTCTGCGTTTGGGTTCAGGAGAAGCGGCTCGTCGGCACCGGGGCTCAGACCATCGGCGGCAGTCGATCCAATCGGAACTCCTCGCGAGTCGCGTGGAAGCTCCAGCTGCATGGTTTGGAATGTGTTTGTGTCTGTAAAAGTAATTAAAAAGCCAGTTGTGGGAATGCTGAGTCAGCATTATTCATTGTTTCATTCGTGGGAACTTTGCAATCAAACTACTGCAAAGCTCGTGCTGGTTTCAGTTTTTAGCCTTTAGTTGCTGTTTTGTTGCCTTCAGCTCTTTTTAGCCGTTTTTTTTCCCCTGCTTGTTTTAACTTTCAGCTTTTTCATCAAAGTCATTGAACTATCAGAGCTGTTGTCACAGAAGTTATTCAGCTGAGGAGCGAGAAAAGGCAKCACAGCAGTCCTGAATGTTGAAGACAGCTCGTCAGTTCTGACGGTTAAACGTTCTGACTCGACCTCTGAAGACGTCACTTTGCTAGCAGAGTTCCTGTAAAGGTTACAGATTCGTTTGCATATAAACTTTACCCCGAGTCAGGCATGTCCCGACTTACAGGTTATAAATTTTTTAAGTTGATTTAGATCCAAATCTGAACCTGGAGCCAGTTTCTTTGTATTTTCGTGTGGGTGTAGGCATGCAACCTTGGACCACTCTCTTCTCTTGAACACCTCAGTAACTCTGAATTATGCAGAAAATCTCTAAAGTTGAGTCATCAGTGGCTGAACTCATCCTGGGTATTTTTAATATTTAGAATATCCTAATTAACTCAAATGGAGTTTAAATCAGTCCTCTTGTCTTTACAGATGGATTTCAATGTATCGTCATGAAGGAATTTATCGGTTACTGATATTAAAAGCACTACACCTTTTTCTTAGTTTCCCTTTTAAGTATTGACTTTTACGATCTATTGTTTGACGATTGTTATGTCTTGATTAAAATAGGTTTAGTTACATGCCCGAAACGTTATCACAACACAAAAGAAACCGTTTATAAATCATTAGGTGAGAATTCCTGCGACGCAGCCGTAGGCCTGTAGTGGGCGCACCAGGCACTGAAGAACCATGTATGTATAAAAGACCAGAACTTCCGGTTTGCTTTAGTGTTGCCGTTGCCGACTCCAGCCGGGCGGAATAAACAGCTCGCTTGTAATCAGATCTGGTGTTGTATGGTCTAATCTCTTCACACTTCAATTTATTCAACATTTATGTGTTTTTGTCTCGACTTCGGTTAATGAACACTAAATTTTCTTACAGTCAAGTCGAATTTATTTAAAACCAAAGAYCTGAACAATAAAAAAGGGGAAAATGTAAATAAAAACAACAAAACAAATTAATGCAAAAACATGAAAAGACAAAAAACGGAGAACACGGAACAATAAAATGCTAAAATAACTCACGCAAATGTTTTTAAGAGCGATTTATAAACAGGAAGTGATGAGGTCGGTCTATTGTTGGAGACTGAAAAAACTGATTTATTGATGAAAAAATCAAAGATATGGTTTTAATTGCAAGAAGCAGCATTTTATCTTTTTGTTAGTAAAATATCTCATGAGCCAGCGCATGTATTGTAACAGAACTCTGGCAGTAAGTACACTGCAAAAACTGTCCATTTTACAAAGTTTTAAAATCTTATATCAGCCAAAAAATCTTTTTGATCTTGTTTTGAGACTGATTTACTAAACAAGAACTGATTGTGTAAGAATAATKATCTTGTTTTTGCAATGTGTAAGATAATTTGTCTTGTTAGTCTGAAAATTTGACTCAAATTAAGTCAAAAATTTCTGCCAATGGAGTAAGAAAATTTTACTTGGTAAGATTCTTGAAATACTTGATTTGACTCAATTTTTTCTTATTTCAAGAATCTTACCAAGTAAAATTTTCTTACTCCATCGGCAGAACTTTTTGACTTAATTTGTGTCAAATTTTCAGGCTAACAAGACAAATAATCTGACACATTCTGAAAACAAGATGATTATTCTTACACAACCAGTTCTTGTTTAGTAAAACAAGATCAAAAAGACTTTTTGGCTGATATAAGATTTTAAAACTTGGTTAGTTGGACAGTTTTTGCAGTGTATTGGACYGATATTGACAACTTGAACAGCTTTTGGAGCGAACCAGATCCAAGATGGCTGCTTTAACTAATCAGCTTTAGCAAACACAACAATGGCTACAGCCTGGTCAGCTTTACAGAGACTCAGCTAAACTTCGGCGTGGTAGTAGCCGCGAGTCATCCCCAGGATCAGACGTCACTTTCTGTGAATGGATGACGTCAGAATCGGCCTGTACAGGTGAGCTCACTCGGCCAGGTGAAAGACTTGAAATGATATGCGTGTGTGCCTCCACACGCCACCTGTGATGACGCTTCACTGTTTGGTGATTGGTGGTCTCCTTCAGAGCAGCTGCCCTGTGTTTGAACGCAGCTAATGGCTGTGCAGTGGAGGACCATGTCATCTGCTCGTCCTTTTGATGGCGGGGGAAGATTATGACTCACGTTCTCTGCTTTGAAATCCAGTCACCTTTGAAGCTCGGCCTCGCTCAGGTTTGAGAGGATAATGTCTCAAGTCGTGATCAGCACATCGAGCAGTCACCGATTTATGAAGGAATGCACATTAATTGTCACCTGTTCTGCCAGACTTTTACATGAACGATGGAGCTGAAACTGTTTTGGCCAGATCTTAAGTTTTACCTGCAATCATGCATGATGTCACAGTGATGCTGCAATCTGCTAAAGTTTAGCTCAATATCCGTACAACTGCTGGAGTAGGGTTGAAAACGCTTTATTTTAGGGGCTGTAAAAGTTTTAGTACTTGTGTCACACAGAAATGATCCATCTTTGGGTTTGAAAAGATTCCCAAAGATTCCTATGAATTCCTTTCTTTTACACGTTTTGCTTTCTTCTCCTCCCTTCAGGGCACCTTTTTCCTTTTTTTTTTACAGAACTACAGGATCAGCCTTGATCTTTTCACAGCAGACAGAGAATTTTCATGCCATAGGTAAGTGAACCCCCCTCCCCGTCCCCTCCCCTCTTCTTTGCCAGTGGTTGGGGTTTTTGACGGTTGCAGGCTGTCACGGTCAGATAATGACATTCCTGAGACCCAGAGATGGACTCGAGTCCAGTTTGAGTCACTCCGATCCTACTGGACCGGTCTGCATAAAACTGCAACATTCAGGAGATGATGCTGCTTCATTAAGAAGCTCTTTCTTGCTAATGTTTCCTCTAAACTCATTTAAACCTAGAGCCTAAATTTGTCGTAAAATCTTTTTTAACATGTTTTTTAATCTTAAACTATAGATTTGAACTTTAGCTTTTATTAAGTTTTAAAAATTGAGTTTGATTCATTACATAAACATTGTTTCACCCTGACAGAAATAAACAGAATCCATGTTTTCTTTTTTATTAAAAGTCAAAACAAACTGAAAGCAACCAAAGAACAGGTTAGTTTTTTTTGGATTCAACCCAATTCAAGATGGCCGCCACAGCCAGCTGACCGTAGAAAACACAAAAAATATCTGTAGTTCAGCCGTTTTTCCCAATTTCGACCTAAAACTTTGCGTGGTAGCAGTAGGTGGTTCACGCCACACAGATTTTGCACGATTCCACGAGGCTGCAAAATGTTTGACCAAACCAGCTTTCACTTTCTCAACATAAKACGAGTCTGAATCTCAGGCATGAAAGGTGACCACCATATGGATGCCAATGAGGAGTTCTAAGTTTTTGATTTAATTTGAGGTTTTCTCCATCAGCACTCTGATTTCTTAGTCTACGGCCAACTTTTAACACTTTGTTTCACTTCTCTACTCTGTGTTTTACATGGATTTTCTCCAAATTATAGTTACTTTTTTTTTACTTTTTTTAACTAAAGTCAAAGTCTGTGTGCAGCGTCTGCGTTCTCCTGAGGGTTTAAAACTCGATTTACAAATCAGTTTTATTGCCGTTGTCATTGAACAGCATTCACAGACTAGGAATTTGCTTCGGTGTAAAGGTGCAATAGGTATAAAATATAACAAATAAAGAAAATACAAAGAAAAAATTATAAAATATATAAAACATATGTACACTAGTTCAGTACAGTAATCAGAGCAGACAATGTAGTTCAGGGGTCTGCAACCTTTACGACAAAATGAGCCGTTACTGCTCCTTGTCTAACTAATAAAATGTGTCCAGAGCCACAAAACAAACTTCAACTGTGATTATAAACTGGTGGTCCGCGGGCCTTTTCAAGTCCTTTTTAGGAACTTTTATGGTCAATGGAGGAGACATTATAAATCTAAATAAATATTGTTATTATTAATATATTATTTATTATTATACACAGGCCAAATAAAAATACCATATTCATGTAAACAAGAAAAATACTATATATAGTTTATACCTATTTCATAAAAACTAGTACAACTGAATTATTCAGGCTTATTTATTTTCTAATTCTTAATATTATGTAATTCTGATGGATTTGAGAGAAAGATCATAGAAAGAAAATGGAATATTTAAGTAAACAACAGGCTAGCATGAGCTAACGTTTTACTTTTTGTATTAGTAGTATTGATCACATACAAATTTATTTCTGTTGTGAGTATTAAAAAAACAAATTATGTTTGGRCACATTTTCAAAGAGCCACTTCAGATGGACTCAAGAGCCACATGCGGTCCCAGAGCCTCAGTTTGCAGACCCCTGATATAGTTGGAGTAGTGCAGTTAGATCCAGTGATAAAAGTGACCAGAAAAACAATATAGTCAGAGTTGTGCTTTTTAAAAAAACAGTGATAAAGTGGCCAAGGCAGAGTTTTAGAGTGACATGATTCTAATTGTTCAAGAGATATTTGTTGGAGGTCATTCTTTTATGTTAAAAAACCAACTTAAGTTGAGCAACTAGGGCTGCAAGATGTCAGGAAAAAGTGCGATATTAGTGCTAGGGCTGCACGGTATATGCGGTAGATGGTAGAAAGGGTTTGAAGTTAGCCTACGGTAGAAATTTACCCTCTACCGTCCTATCATCATTACATCATCGCACCTGTGTGAACAGGGCTGCGAGTGCAGAGGCAACTGAGCAGGAGGAGTGCAAAATGAAGAAATTATAGGATTTTTAAAACGCGTAAAGAGAATAAATCCTCAAAATTTCCCCCTCCCGCTGTAGAAAAGTTACATCAGGATCACGTCCTTCCTCCCTCCCTCCACGTTGCACAGAGCGAAGCTTTAATAACAACAGTTTTTTCACACCCAAGTTGTCGGAGAAAAAACTTGTTTTTATGTTTTGTTACCCACAGAGATGATAAAAAAAAGACGTGGACGTTCGTTCAGTCATAAATCCATCTTGTTAATGTAAAAGTTCTGCTCTGATGATGAAGATGAGCTCGCAGCAGAGCAGCAGCTGATAAGTTCAGCAGGCCGAAGCTCATTGTATGACAGGCTGATATTAAAGCAAAAATGCTGGGTTTGATTAAGATTAGTTTTCTGCATAAAAAAAGCTCTAAAAATTACATTACCTTAACTTTTTATGATAATTTTCTACCGCAATATATACTGTTACCGTGAAGGGATTCAATTTATACCGTGATAGGAATTTGAGGTCATACCGCCCAGCTCTAATTAGTACAATAAGAGTATCAGTTGTGATAAATGCTCATGTTCTGCCACCACAGTGCTCACACCACCTGACGTGTGAGGAGGTCCATCAGACGGCCAAATTTATGGTTTGTGTCTACGGTGTTTGCTAACCCTTTGTGATAAATTTTGGATAAATTGTGCAACAAGTTGGGTCACATTTTTGTTGTTTATTCCCTCGACCTTCAGTTCTCTCCTGTCCTGTTCAGAACTCCTCCTCTCCAAACTCGATCAGTCTGTTTTCTCCTGCGCATATGTGCATGTCCCCGCAGTTATTTAGGCTCTGTTTTTGTTTTTCAACACCCGGGCTTGTAAAAGAGGGAAGGCTGCCAGGCTTGGAGCACTCAGAACTCCTCTTCCTCTCCGAGCCCGGCCCCGTCTGCAGGATTTATGGCCCGGGCGATCGCCCCTGAGACAGAAACTGAGAAGAGCCTCTCCCGGAGGGAGATGGGGGGGGGGGGCTCGCTGAAACTCAGCACCCCTCCTGRTCTCCTCTTCAGCGCTGCCGGGCGATGCTGCTGCCAGCGCCGTGCGCGTGTCACCCGGAGCCACGAGCCCCGCGTTTCATCTTCAGCCCTGCCTTCGTAATTTGTCGCGCAAATCAAAAGGTAGCCGGCATTGTCGCAGCGCAAACCTTACACCGGTGTCACGTAAGCTCCTTGAAGAGAACCGCTGCAGGTGATTCACATCCTCAGCTCTTTGTCAACTCTTCTCCCGTGACTGCAGCTGAAGTCAGGAGTGTGGGTGTAAAGTCCTCGTTTCCATTAAAACTTCAGCCCCGTAGCAGCTGCCTGCTCTGTAAATGACACCCAAAAGGTGCTGGACCGCTCGTAGCGCCGGGGTCCGCATGTGAAGCAGGCGGCCCCAGTGCAACAGCTCTGACAAGTTCTCGTGGCGTCGGGGCCAAAAAGAGCTCTGTCACACGGGAACGAAAACGAAAGATGCGTGACAAGATGAAGCTCTAAATTTTGAGTTGCCGAAAGCGACACGAAGGATAATTTAACAAAGAATGTAAGCCGTCGTGGAGGAGGTGAAGTGTACAACAAATAATCTAAGATTACACGTGGTTTCAGTTTGTGCAAAAGTTTGTCATCTATGAGAAACATGTTAGGATGGAGAGGAGTCAGCAGTGGCATGCAATAACAAACAAAAAATGATGATTGCGATTTTATTTTGTATAATTTTAAGGTTAAAATAATTTACGGTTCAGAAAATGACTGAGTTATCAACACCGCTTTTTTCTTTTAAGTCAAACAAACTGATTTTACAAACATGACCCTAACGAGCGCTCGCTGGTGTAATTTCATGAACAAAATTAATTAAAATCCACGTTTTGAATCATTTAAAGACTCAATTAGAGAAAAAAATCCTTTTTAAATCTCATGCTTCAACATGATAAATGGACCTGAACGTGGAGGGGGGAAAAGAACGGCAAACCTTTTCCGTTACYCTCGTATTTGAGGTTAAGATTCTTTGGAATGGGCCGGAGAACATTTTTCCACTCAGTCAACCGAACGTGCACATTCTGCCCTCTTCGAAAAAAAAAAATCATCTTTTGACCTAAAAATCTGGCTTTTTTCCCTGCGCAGCTTCGAAGGGGCTCCGGTGCCCCTGAAACGGAGGGTCTTTCAGTACTCACCACCAGATGGGATAGCCTCCAAGCACCGGCGAGCTGGACAACCACACACACATGAAATATCCAATCAGGTACAAATCCATGAGGTAAGCCTTGCAGTGTGTGACGGGGGTGAGTGGATCAATACATGGAACTCCCAGTGTGAAGAATAGTTTCCAGGAAGAGGGGATTTACAGCAGCTTGATTGTTGAATGAGGGGGGAAATTAAAATAAAAATTTTTTAAAAAGTCTTCCTGCTGTCCCCCCCCCTCCCCCCTATTTGAGTCGGGCCAGGAAAGTGTGTCTGTCTCCCAGTAGTTAGCAGAATAAGTGTCTCTTACACTCGTGCACACGCTCCTACCCGTCCTCGCCTTCCCTCCCTCTCTCTCTGAGGTTCTTCCCCAAGGTAGATATCGTTTTCTCTCTCTCCCTACTTTTTTCTCCCTCAGGATGCCTCATCCACAGGCCCGATATTAAAGTGGCGGGCGGCGGGTGGGGTGGAGACGGGGCTGAAGGCAAGGGGGGGTGGGGTGGGTGTGTGTGGAGGTTTTGGAGTTGTCAGCTGGCAAGCCAGTCACAGGAGATGGCCTTAGGTTACGAGGAAAAAAAAATTATTATTCGTTCCCATCTGTCAATCACACGCTACCCCCTGGTAATGTGGAAAAGAAAGGGAAGAGCGAGAGGCGGGGAGGTGGAGGGGAGGGACACATGAAAAAAGGTAGAGAGTTGTTGCTCAACTTGTTTCATCCCTGATCATTGGAAATAATCACGTAAGAAGTGGCCGGAGGCAGGTGACGAGGAGGCTCTGCACGCTTTACATGCTGACTCATCGATTTCTGTTTTTGTTTTGTTTTAGGGGTTGCGCCCTGACTAATTGATCCGGATATCGCGTGTAACCTCTGCCCCACTCGTACCCAGATAGATATACAGTGAATTTTCTAAATTGTTGTCCGCCCCCCTCCAACAGGGGAGGGACAAAAAAAAGGGAGGAGGGACACAATAAAGCCATAAAACTACGGGCCTGGCATGCAGGGGTTATACGCTCGGGCGGCCCAAAGGCAACACATTTTACATCAATACTATTGTCATTCTGATGGGCTGAGGGGTGAGCAGCCGTGGGGTGGGGGAGGAGCGGGGGGGACACTTGAGACGAACTCAGCCTAAATGTGATAAACACACAAGGAAACTGATCAGGATGAATGCAAACGAGATAGGCTGGAAAAGATCACAGAGAGGGAGTGATGGTAATCTGGATTATCAGACAGACAGGATGGAAGGGAGGACTGGTGAAGATGGGATCTCTGCTGACACATCAAACCACTTTTTCCTCTTTTTTTAAAGGTCTATAATATCAGGAAATGGAAAAATAACAATACATTTACATTTTCCACAAACTTTAAATCAAATCTAAAACGATATAAATTGATATTTTCTACTTAAAGTTCATAAAAGAAACTTTTGTAGTTTTTTCTCACAATCAAATCAATCAAAAGGTTTTCCTGAATCATATTAAATGAYTCTGTTTGACAGAAACATCCATCCAGTTTGAAATGCAGGTATGCACTCAATGTAAACAAAGTATCCTACACAACAAATCTGAGCGTAAACAGAACATAAACTGTCAGAATTCTCCATCCCAAACAGCTCTTTGATGGGAGTCACTGTTCACCTGTTGTCAGACACTTCGGCTGTTTCTGATTCTAAAAAAACACATGAAAGTCAGCATCTGTTCACACATTTGGATTACATTTTCATAATTTCAGGACACATTATCACAGTGCTCGTCCGGTGACAATGGATAAAAAATATTTTATTTTGTGGCCACATGATAATAACGCATGGCCACAAGACCCATGAGATAACTGTGTTGCAGTGTGTGACACAGACATTGTTGGAGTCCCGTTATTTATCCAATGTCACCGGACAGGCTCCATACATTAACCAACAATATGAGAACAATATTGTACAGATTTCGTTTTTTCATTTTTATTGGTCTTCATGATCTTTAATAAAAAAAAATACAGTTTAAAAAAAGTTATTTAAATAATCAATTGAACTCCAGGTTGTGTTTTTCTTTCTTTTTTTAATATATATTTTATAGAGCTGTGTATTGGCAAGAATTTGGTGATATGATACACATCACAACACATGGGTCATGATATGATATATCACGATATATTGTGATATTATAAGCAAGCCGTGTATTAACATTTTATTRTCCAATAGATTCTGATTAAAACTTGGTATAAAGAGCACACCATGCCTTGYGAACTGCATTTGTATTTCACATTTCTTCTTACAACTTCTGTTCATTGAGCCTTAATTAAAAATCGATCAGGAAATMAAATATTGCGATATTTCACTATCAATATTTCCTTACACCCCTAATATTTTCATTCATACAAGACTTTTTTAATGGATTTTTAAGTGCTCCATTTTAATTTTAAAATTATGAAGTCTTCTTAGTTAAGTGTGAGCGGAGCAAACCTTTTCGAGCCAAACCTAAATTTTCCTTTTGGGACAATGAAGTACGTGCCGGGCCACCAAAATAATCYAATACAAGCTTTTTCTTGGGTAGATTACCATAAATTTTGCACGCAGTAGCTACATGAATACCTCAGTGTTGCTGCGTACTTCCGTGGTGGTGCCTGGGGGTGGTTGTCTTTCAGCCCGGGACCTCTGGACCTGGAGTTCTGTGGACTGACAGGGATGCTCAGCAGGGGCTAGGAGCAAGCTCTCTTCATAGAGTGCCCACCGCGGGGAAAGACGCCAGTGACCACAGACTGGATGTCAGTGGTGGGGTGCCCCCCTTGTGCGTCCACCTCTGTGTTTTTTTTCTCCACAACAAAGAAGTTGGTGAAACAGGCAGTGACGGAGATGCGCTCGACCTACCGCCCTGTTTCTGATGTGTGGGGGGTGAATTTGACACTAACAGATAGCTATCCCAGTGCATTAACCGCGCTCTGCAGCAGATTAAGTCCATTTTTGCGTCCCTCGGTGCTGACAATGAGGCAGGACTGTTTCTGATTATCAACATTGTTGCGGGTTACAGCATCATCAGAAATGTGCCGAGCTCAGCGCTGGGATTTGGAAGACAGCTGCTGTTTAGGAACGATAGACGGTGCGCGGGGCCAGGGGTAGATTGGGAGAATGTGTCGGAGGTCTAATTTACGAGTACAGGCGCAGGAATCAGTCTGCGGTCTGATAATGAACAACATTGAAACCACGTTTCCCAGATTGAGGCCACAAGTGCAGCGAGAATCGTCTCGAAGAGGCAACATCGGTTAAGATCCGTATCTGTCGAAATGTGACTGAACAACACTCGTGGTGGGGTCTTTTAGAAATATCTGCAAAGGAAGAGCACAGTTTCCATCAGTGAGGATGGAGGGGGGGAGGCAAACACAGAGGTCCCCTACCGGGCTGGTTTCTAGGGTGACCTGAGAAAGGCCATAACCAGGTCCGGCTTTTTCTCAGGCCTAATCAGCGCATTACCACAAAGAAGGACATGTGTTAAGCCCCCCCATCTCTCCACTCAATCCGAATAGCGTGGCTGGACACAGGCAGCCAATAAAACCAGGATTAGGAGGGTATCTAAACACACTGAGCCTGTAGCGAGAAAATTTCTGAACACACCCAATCCCGCCCCATTCCCTTCAGCCCTCTCCGTCTCTCCTTCCTTCAAGTCTTTCACTTGATTCCTTTGCCTCTTCCTTTCAGTGCTCTCATCCTATAAGCTCTTCACACAAAGAAGCATCCAGGAATTACTCATTTTGTTGGAGTAGTTAAGCAAATTCCCAATACCTCTTGCCCACCTCCCTCCTTTATGTTTCGGATCCTGTGCTTTGTGCAGTTGCGATGATGAATTGTGCTCCATCACAATGACAAAATTGTGTTTGGCCGAGGCCCTGATCCACACGGGGAACGCTGTCTTTCCAAAACGATTTCGTTGCTCGCAAACCCGGCAACGTTCCTGGAAATATTTTCGTCCACAAGGAAACAGTAAACGACTGAAAAGCTGTAGTAACTACACCTTCTGACAACCTGGTATCACAAATGTGAGCAGGTAACCTGTTCTTGTTGTTGTTACTCCCTGAGGTCGTAGGTTAAGCATAACCTACGCACATCATCTTCACTTTTTTTACTGGTTTCGTTGAGTGATTGCCTCGCTCTGGAACCCAGTTGTCTTCATAAAACTCTTTTCCTGTGTGGACAGGGAGTTTGCGGAGAATTTATGCGAACGTAAAATGGAAACCTTCAACTTTAAAAACAAAACAGATTTTCTTCTGCCTCCATCTGTTGAGCAATCCTGATTAATTAATGCCTGATGATCGAATGGCAGTTGTGCAGTGTGTTCCTCCGTCTGTACAGGAAGTAAACTGTGTTTGCTGTCACGGGTCTTGGAAGTCYGATGCCACTCAGACTACCGATTCCTCCCCGATGCCGCCGGAAAATAAAGACAGTGTTAAAGATAACACAAACGCCTTTGTCGAGGCTTTTTAAGGAGGCTCGGCCACCAAATAAGTCTTTTTCATTAGAGCAGCAAACACTTCATCCCTCCGCTGCGTGAAGGATGCTCAGCATAAAGCCGAGACCCGCAGCGGTCTTCAGCCGGACACCGAGGCAGCCTAATTAAAGGCCACTTAAGCCCTACAATGTGTGGCCGTGCAGGTTGGAGCTGGGTCCCCGCCGACAGGGGCTCATAAACAAGGGAGTCTAGGACGGAGGGAGAAAATAGGACTATGTGCCGGAGACTTTGTTCACACAAGATGAAGAGTCAACAGCCTCCCCATCTCTCGCCCCTCCTTCGCCATCCCCCCTAATAACCAGCTTCTTCAGAGGAGCTGCAAACACAATGCCATCCCACTCCCCTCCACTTGCTCTCAATCACCGTTGGGACAATAAGGGGAGCCCCCCCCCCCTCTCCTCTACCACCGTCACCATCCTTCTGCCCCTCCCCGACCCCCAAACAGACACTTCTTTTATTGAAATTCTTTGGTGTTCTAATCCTCAGCTTCCTCCAGGGGTAATAATGGACTCTCTGCATCAGCCTTTTCCAGCGCAGCTATCATCCCAGTCTGCCTGGGTCACAAGTCCACCCCTCCCGTTGGGGAGAAATGCCCCCGCAGTGTGATTCCTGTCACAACCAGCTCACCCACGGGCCTGAGAACATCCCCAACGCCATTGACCTCAAAAACATTCTTGTAATAGAAGCCATAAAATTCGGTTTCTTTTCTTTTTTTTTTTTTTTTTTTTTTTTTTTTTTTCAGTCTTTTTTTTTTTTTTTTTTTTTTTTGCCCAGAGTTGTTTAACTTACATTTTTAATTAAATGCGTAAATCTGGTTTGCATCTCTGCATTTTAATTTATTTTTATATTTAATTAGATGCAAAAGAGGCCTGGGCCTGAAAGCAGCCTATTGTGCATGTTTACGG